ATCATATTTTAAATAAAAAATTATTTTTAAAGAATATAATAGAAAGTAAATAAACCTTAATTGTAAAAATTTTGTATAAGTTGATTCTAACTCTAAATATTTAAAATGGAGAAAAGCTTAATTATTGAGGTATTTTTTTTACTAAACTCTTAACATTCTTAAGTTAAGTTGAATTTTGATTAATTTAAAATTAAATTGTATTAGATCCCATATGAAGAAACCTTTTCATTATCTAATTTTTTATTTATAAAACTTAAATTTAAAATTATATTTAAAAAAAAATCAAATTTTTTCTACTTAAATCAGTAAAGTTGTTGATTATTAAGCTGATCAAGGTATTTGTTGATCCAATGTTTTTGTTTTGAATTTAATTCAAAACACACAAGAAGACACCGTGTTTTCCGGTTATATAGAATTTGTAGATAGATACTACTGTAACCTTCAACATGTGAACCTCCAATAATTAAGAGAGACGCCTATTAATTAGTAGTACATGAGACAATCACAGTGCCTTGTAAGCTGATGAAGGGAGGGGAGGGGGTTCCGCCACAAACTCACATGTTGGATGTCATGACTAAGACGAAATCAAGAGATTCTTTACAAAAAGAACAAAGTATAAAGTATAAACCTCCATCGAAGTGACTAAACCAGGCGGCCATGATACATAAGACGCGTTTTTGTTACTTTCTCTATTTCAAGGAAAGCGATAGAGTAACTATTTACATTATTGATTGCGCTTCCTTCTCCAATACGCAAGGGTGTTGTGAACTTCTCATTTTCCTCGCGTCCCCTTCCTTTCACACGAAGGTTTCAACCTTAATCCCATCAAACAAATATTTTCCCCTATGCCACCAAACTATGGTTTTGTACTTTTCCTTAACATTTGCTAGTGGAAAAACCAACAGCAAGTCTGGTTTTCCGATAGAATCATACATTCAACTTGTGGCTGTTAGATTTTTAAGAGAAGAAGAAATGGTTGACAGAGGACTTGGAGGAGACTAGAAAATGGTAGAAGTTAGAACATGAATTTTACATAACCAAGTAAGGGTGCAAACGTTCACCCACCCCCAGAAGGAGAGAAGTTGTTCTCCAACTCTCTCATATTTCCATTAACATGTTTGCCCATTTATAGCAAAAAAGTTGACATAAAAACAATCCTTTTCCCCTACTTTTCTTGGTTTATGGTTACATGTTTCTTACAAAATCTATTTT